TCGTTTGGCAGATTTTGAATGCAGATTTGAAATCAGCGTCAAAAAATACGTCTAGCAGCATAGGTCTCATTTCAAATGGCCACTTCGACTTGGGATCCTTCCCTTGTGAGCTTCAATGTCCAGTGCGCAAGCGCTTTCATAGCGCGCGAGTGTTCTCAATGCCTGTGAGTAATGGCGGAAGCGTGTAAGGTCGATAATGGGTATATGTTCTGGTGGTTTTGCTTTGATTACGTATGCGCAGCTGGTTGTGCTATTGTCTTCAGCGTCGACGGTGTCGGCGCTTGTGACTTCAGCCTCACTGCGTGGCGTGTAGATTTGTCATTGCGGTTCAGGTATTTGGAGCCACTGTGGTCCTGTTAGCCAATCGCTGGTTCGAAACTGTTCTTTGTCTGTCGGTCGAGTGGCGATGTCGGCTGGGTTATGGGCTGATTTTATGTATTTGAAGTTCAGAGTGATGCTGAGCTCTTGAATTTGGCGAGTTAACTTGTGTATACGATCGACTTGAATTGATACGAAAACGAGGAGTTTCCGTGATAACTGTAGCCATGCGAGTGCAATTTCACTGTCATTCACGATGTGAAGCGACTTAATCTTTTTTTTTGTATACGTGCAATATTGTTTTTGCTAGCCGCAAGGATATCAATATTGCGATGAGTTCGAGTCGCGGGATCGATAGCTTCCTTTTGAGTGGAGCCAGTCTGGCTTTCGCGCATAAGAGTCCATCTGTGTGATGATTTGGAAGGTGGGTCACATAAGCGCAAAATACGGTGGCGAGTTGGCTAGCGTCGGCGAAAATCCATAGGGTGGATTTTCCCGTTTTTTCATTTCCTCTTCCGATATTACGGGGGAGCGAAATGGTAGTATCGTTGATCTTCGTGTGAATTTCGTTCCATTTATCAACGTAGTGTTGTGGTAGTACGCTATTCCATGGGCTTTTCATCAAAACAACCTCTCGCATTAATAGTTTGGTATTCAGCGATAAGGGTAATGCGAGTCTGAGTGGGTCGTATATTTTGTGTACTTCGCTTACAAGTTCTCGTTTGGTCATCCTTTCTCTCGGTGATGACTTTAAGTGTAGTGATATTCGATCATTGTCGGTGTTATAGCTTACACCTAGCAATTTGGTGAAGCCTGCTTTTCCTTCAATAGATTCTGGAATCATGGTAGTGACCTCGGTCGAATTGCTGATGAAGTCTTTTAGATTCATCCCTATTTGGCTGAAGAGCTTTCGAGAGCTTTGTATTGCTTCCACGCTTGATTCTGCTGCTAAGAAGACGTTATCGACGTAGATATTGTTCAGTATTTCTTTGAGAGTTCCGTGCCTATCCCATTGAGAAATGTGGATATGGCCATATTTAGAATGCTAGGAGACGCTTTTGTTCCGAATGGAAGACTTATGAATCGGTAGTGTATAACATTAGCCGGGCTCGGTGGTAGGTTAGGATCTCTGAACCACAAGAATCGTAGCAAGTTGCAATGCTCAGGAGTGATCCGGATCGAATAAATGCTGCTCGAATGTCTGCGGTGAAAAATATTTTGCACCACCGGCTCATTGTAAGTATGTCCTGGATTTTGTTTGTGAAACTTTCTCCAGTGTGCATCACATCGTTGAGTGAAAGTTTCCCTTTTGCTTTTGATGAAGCACCGAATACAGTTCTTAACGGAGTGGGTTTTTCTTTCCTCCATACTCCTGAATGAGGTGAGTAGAAGGTGATGATGTTGGGCTGGTACTTTTCTTCGCCAAGGGTTTTTTCGATAATGTCGTTATTTTCGTACTCCTTTAGTATTTTGATGTACCATTGTTTCTGTAGTTCGTGAGCTCTGTGGATTTTGAAAAGAGAATTCAGTCTTGATGCTGCCATAATTATTTTCAAGGTTCACTATGTTATCCTTGAGAAGGAAAGGAGCTGTGATTGTTCTGTTTTCGGTAGTTATATGCTTTGGGAAGCTGTCCATGTAGTTGTATGCAGTGTCATCATTGTTGTATTCGCCGGTGGTATGCCCATTCCTTCTAGTTTGTACATGTCTCTGAGTTCTTGTTTGATTTCGGATATCACTTCTGGGCATAGGAACATATGATGTTCCTTGTTTGGTTGGTAAAGTGGTTTGTCTGCCAAAGACAGCAGGTCAAAATACGGCATTTTGTGCCAGAAGTCCAGAGGGAAGCCTAGTTGGGGCAGAACCGAGGAGTACGATGTGCTCGAACGATTCTACTCCTATTAGTATCGATGGTTTTATAGATTCCCCATTAGTCGCAGTATTGGAAAGGAGGATATTGGTTTCTTTGAAGAATTGTATTACAGAGTTTGACGAGGTAGCTGCTGGGAAAGCGTTGGTTAGCAGTGGTTTCGTTATCAGGTTCAATGAGATGTTTTCTCTGAACCATGTTTCGAATACAGCTGTCACTCGATGCGATATGTATGTCCCGATGTTTCCTCCGAAATGGTGCACTGGTATGGTTTTCCTTTGTGGAGTCCAAGCGATTCTGCGACGCTTGTCTCAATGAGGTTGCACTGCGCTCCAGAACCAAGGAAAATCAAGATGTGCTCGAAGATGCCAGTGTTGTTGTTTTTAATTTGACCTTCTGCCGTCATGAGGACCAGCTGTTTCTCGGAGCCTAGCGCCTTCATTTGATGAGAAAAACTTCTTATATTATTTCCTTCTTCCTTTTTGGATGCAGCTGGAACAGCTGGAGAGCGTTCCCGCACTTCGCTGTCTTGGTGACGAGGCGAAGTTTTTGTTGGCTGGTTACTGCAGTGAAAAGATTGGTGTTCGTGACCCTGACTCTGAATGTTGTCGTGGGGGGGGGGGGGGGGGGGGGTTCGGAAGTGCGAGTTTGATACAAAGGGACGTGTGATGGGCCCCGTTACACTTTGTACAGTTTTCTGTGGGACACGCTCGTCTTTTATGGTTCGCAGCGAAACATTTTCAACATACTAGTAGGCCTCTCAATGCGGCTCTGCCTTCTGATGCCATAATCACCATACGGCGATTCTTAGTTTGATGGTTAGTGCGGTGGCAAAAAAGACATAGCTGCTTTGGAACAGATCTGGGATCAAATTAATCGGTGGAGGTTGTATGGCTTGTTGAGAGTGAGGCGAATCGTTTTTCGAAGACTACTCTAGGGGAGGCTTCCGTATTAGGTTCGTCTAATAGGGTGCCTACTGTCAATGTTGGATCTTGTGTTGTTCTCTTCATAAGTTCTTTGACTACATCATAAAGAAATTTGGTTAGAATGGTGTCGATCCAGATGGGGCCATGCTTTCTCAGTACGTCATATCCTGTAACAACCATTTGGTACACAAGGTCGTTTACCTTATCGAGTGTTTCTGCACACTTTTCTGCTGTAGCGCCTTCTTTAGGTAGGTGTAGTAGTTTTTGCACTATTGGTGGTCTGTTATTGCCTTTATTACCGAATTTTTGACTTCAATATATCAACAATTAGTTTGTAGTTGGATGTTTTCATTGGGATGCTTTTTATTGCATTGAATACTTTGCCACGTATTGCATCCTTGAAATGGAGAATCTTTTCTAGTTCTCCGAGTTGCGAATTTTGGTCAACTATGTATAAGTGAATAAGTATCCCAAAACTCTTCCCATGATATGTTTTCACCGTCGAGTTGAGGAAGTTTTATTTGTCGGTATCTTATTTTCAATAGTGAGGAGAGTTCCACTTGGTTGGGTTCCATAGTAGGATAATCTTGGTTGTGACGTATTGGTTGAGATTCTTCAACATTCGTTTGCTCGCTTTGCCGACGACTGAATTGTTCAGTTCCTCTTCGCTCATGTGGCCGGCATTATTGTGGCCGGGGCCTTTGTTGGGAGGTGGGTGCGATTCAAATCGAGGAAAGCGATCTGTGTATCAACTGCTCGTTTCCTGGCTTTGAGTGCCATTATCATGTTTTCGGCTTCTTGCTTTAATGTGCGAAAATTGGACCTTTGTTTGAGGTCGTCCATTTCTTGGAGCATGTCTTTTTTCTCAGCTTTAGTTGCGTCTGCGTATGTAGTCATCATATCGTGATACACTTCTTTTAACGCACTCAATCTGGTTGTAATATTGTCCAAAGCTATTTGCAGTTCGCATAGCCTTTTGTGGCAGTAAATGCGGATTTCATGATCTTCTGTTGGTGGGTGGTTTGGCTCTACCGTGTTTTTGTAAAAATTGTCTGTAACAAGTTGTGCTCATGCTCCAAGTTCTGCAAGAGAAGTGTTATTTTGCCCGGTGTCTCTCTCTTTCGTCTGGGTAGAATGGTTTTCGTGTGCCACGAGGGACTTGGTGGGTTAAGGTTGGCCGATGCACCAGAATTCTGTACGGGCTTCGACACACAGATTTTATTTATCAAGCCTTTATTGTGCGACTGATTACTGACATAGACTGATAACGACTGATGACTACCAAATGCAATGTACAACTGAGGACCAAAGGCAAGAAACAACTGAAGACTGAAGGCGAGGAGTAACTGAAGACTACGGGTCAAGAACGACTGAATACAGGCCCGGAACGACCGTATTGTCTCCTCGGTCGAGAAAACTAAGGGAAGGAGGCGGAGCCTCTGCATGCTTTCAACATACATAAAACTATGAAACGTAGCGGCTGCGGGGTCTGCCGCGGCAGATTTCTTTCCTATAAAGTACCGGCAACTACGTACTATAATAATACCAGCTCCCATATGAAAGTCAGCGGTATTGCTTTCCATCCTGTAGCTGACTGAGCAAATTTCTCATCCATGTTTTTGTTGTTAGCCTCTTCAAACGCAACCTCCCAAGCTCTCCCCATACGTGTTCTAATGGAGTTGTGGAGATTGGCTTGACCAATCGAGAAGTCTTTGTTTGTTGACTTTTGTTCATCAAATGAGCCCCCACGATACTTGATATATGCTTTGGATCGTCACGTCGCTGCAGAATCCATCCATCAGGCATGATGGTGAATATGTTTATCAGCAGGACACCATTCACAACCATGTCCCTGTATCTGCACGTCGTCGCTCCGTCCACTCTCAAGACCCACGCCGCCTCATGAGAAAGTACCGTAGGCTTTCGCTGATCCCCTCCACTGATTCATAGCTTGACTTCGTGCGTAGGGCAAGCCATGAAGCAACTGCCAGTGTCACCGATAAACAGCACAGAGACGTTCGAGCACGAGCACTTCTATTTTGGCCATGACGTCGACCTATCAGTTGCGTAGGTGGTCCCACTGACAGAATTGATGGATTCTCAACGTCATATTGACACAACTACTTCAATACTTCCCGTCACACCTTACTAACACTCACGTGTTCTCAAATCAACTTCGCAGAGTGCCTTAAAACGGAACATGTGCCATGTATGTTAGCGCGAACTCACCCCTATATAAGCTAGCCTGTGACCGCGATTTTTGAAATCGATACAGCCGATACGTCACTCACGAAGGCGGATTCTGTTAATCAGGAATGCACAGTATTTTCATCCACCTTAGATGGTTTGATGAGTAGGGTGTTCATGAAGGTCTCGCAGGGTGTTGAGATGTTCGATCGGGTATCTTCATAAGTTTAATTTCACCCTTTAATGCACAAGGCGGTTTCGCCGAAATCTTAGCAACTAATGCATTGTGAACCTCGTAAGTTATATTGATAAAGTTATTCAACTATTCAGTGTGCTTTAGAATCCTAAGAAAAAATTGACTGCTGTTTAAAGGGAAACGTGTACATGATCAGAAAGGGAGACGAGGGGCAAGTGGGCACAACCAACTTCGAAATTCATAATCTATTCCAAACGTTCTTTGAAGTCACGCAAGTATAGCGTGCAACTGGTGGGCAAAGACTTGGCTAAATGCGTCCGCTGAAGTGCTCGCGTATTTGTTTGCTTACGTACGTGGATGTGTACTAGCATGGGGGTGGTGTACTGTCAAGCGGCCCTTCTTTATAGGCATGGCCCACGGAGCGAATCAAGGATCGGTACCCGCCCAGACCTACCGGATTCGCTTGATTGGTACCAGATTCGGGAGGGGATTAGTAGCAATAATTCCATCGGCTTGGAACGGCGGGCCAACTTATGGGATACAGCACTCAAAACGTGACGATACTGAATAGAAGCCAGTTACGGTGGCGTATCCCATCAACGGGATTAACTAACAATCGTGATGTGATTTACGAAACTTGTGCGTGTATATGTGTGTATGTTATTGTGTGTGTGCAGATAGGTGCATATGTGCAAGTGTTTACATGTATACATGTGTGTGAACGCATATGTTGTCAGATTATATATGTGTGCGACAAGGAAAATCAATAGCTTGACTGCTTTCGTAGTCCGCCGGGGCTACTCGTTTGCGGTACCGATCAAGACTCAGCTTGTAAACAAGTAGCAAGCGCCGCCCCCAGCCGGCCGACTATGAAGGCAGCCCTTACGTTACCACAAATTCAGATCATATAACTTGGGAAGGTATAAAGGTGACGGGAAGTGGCATTAATTGAGAAGGAAAGAAGCTATAGAAAGAGCGCCTTCTATGTCATCATGTTTCCCGCTCATTACAGCTACTGAATCTGTGACTCCCTTATCCTGAAGGCCGAGCTATGACATTCCGATGGGCGTTAAGGGTGAAAGAGATAGGGATGGTGGGTGTAAGGTGATGAGAGTTGGTGGGTGTCAGAAGCCGATAAAAACATAGGTTGATAAGGGGTCATAAAATGATGTGGGTGCATCGGGATTGTGGATGGTTCGTAACAGTAGCTGATAACAAGTGATAACGGCCAGTAGTGAGCGTTGGAATGGAAATCTCACATATTCACATCGTTCTTTTGAGTCTTCTCTAATATGCCATAAAAGGTGGATGGGTCGTTGATGCAAGAAGGATAAGAGCTGCAAGAGGACGACTGGCAGTCTAACACGACGAGGATCGACAATTTGTTTTTAGTCTAGAAAACCCTTCATGTTGAATTCATTTATCTTTCTTCTACACTCTACGACCTTTTTAACAATAGATTTGATTCGATTCGCGCCTAAACCATAGTACCAATCAGTTTGCTCGTCCTTATACACAACTTTCCAGGTTTTGTTTTTATTATATTTAAGTGAGAAATAAAAGATATTTGAGAGCGGTGCTACATAAATCAGTTGGGCCCCGCACACAAGCAAGCGTCACAACAAAGAAGGCGTCAGACAGAAATGAGGTTTGTGATCTGAGCTTCACTCCTTGAGATTCTGGCAATGATGTGCTATGAGTTCATGCAAAAACGTCGGGAACATTCGTCTAACTGCGAATGGGTCCCCTTTGTTCGAATTGTTGACCTATTCCTAACATTTGCCCAATTTTTCCGCTGTCTGGGCTTTTTGAAGCAAATTTATTAACGTGCCGGAGGTCCGAGCATCCCTAATTTCAACGGCCTCTCCAGGTAATATTGAATTTCTGAACAGCTAGACTGTTCTGGCATAGGCCAGAACCCGCGGTCACCACCGCTTCTTCGGGGCGGGGCTTAAGTAGGAGATTCTCTACTCTGTCTTACCCGTAACAGGGGATTCCTGTCTTGTACACCACCCGCAACTAGGGTGTTTGCGTTCGTTACTAATAAATATATATCACTGAACCACCGTATTTATTCGTTCGCTCGTTTATCAGAGTGACAACAATCTCTCTGACTACATAAAAAGCGCCATCCTTCCGCCTAGTCACCACATTTTTTGGTGCATCGGCTGAAGCCGTTCTAAGGTCAGCAAATCGCCTGTCCTTGGGACTCAGTCAGCCCAAAAAACCGCAAACAACAGTTTTGCGAAAAACAGCGTTATTGCGTTGTTGTTTGCTAAATTCCTAGTCGAATTTAACAGACGTATCTCATTTTATCGCTCGAAAGTAGGGAATTATTGCTAATTCCACCGGACTTAGCTTATCTTTTCCTTATTGCAAGACAATCGCTCGAAAGCAGCATACTTTTACTTGCTAAATCACAGCAAATACGTTATCACTAATAAAACAGCCGCTCAACAGCAGCGAAGTTAGTAAAGGAAATAAGTAGAGATATCAATATGGCACTCTACTTTTACAAAAAACCAATTATTGCTGGCGCCACAGCCCTAGCCACTCTATTACAAAAATATCAGTGCTATGGAGCAAGCCCAGAGTACCCGGAAAACGAGGAAGAACTTTACGAAAGAGCTCTTGCAAATGTTACTCTTATATCTTCAGCACTTATTCGTATAATGCCAATGCAAAAAAGACCGACTAAAAAGAACTCATTATAGAGATTCAGGAAATTGAAAAAAATCTTAATATCCGCAAGATTTGGCGAGTGCCGAAGCTTTTATTCACATACTGGAAGCTCAGTTAACTGAGGCTAAAGTAAATTTAGCAAAAGCTCAGAGGAAGCTTAAATTACCTTCCGCTAATAATGACAGTGAGGGTTCATCAACCCACAGTAGTAACCAAACAAATTGGTCTCAAGGAATTCGAAGGCGCCGGATTCTGAGAGCACCTCCAGGATGCGGTCAATCAAACCGCCCAATATCAGCCTACCGAAATTTTACGGTGGTGAAGAAGAATTCCAGAGTACTGGGCTGTTTATGAATCCCTCATTCACTCGAGCAATGACCTTAGCACAATTGAGAAGATTGTTCTACTCAAAAACAGCTTGAGAGGGAAGGCCNAGACCAACACCCAGGTCATTCAAATTGAGCAGGATTACGACCGCTTGAAGATCGACACGAGCAAAAATGAACAACTGATTCTTATGACAGCAGAGAGCAATCTTTGGAATAACAAAAATGAAAGGTTCGAGAAAGTGCTCTTCTTCTTTGATACTGGAGCTCACAAAACCATGATTGAGGAGAAATTAGCAAACGACTTTGGGCTTCCGAAACTCTTCACAGAAACCTTACAATGTCGGTGGAGGACACGTTGAACGGTTCGATAGCACAACTGTACCTTTGAGAGTTAGATCCGCATATTGAAAGAACTACGCTTCAACGTACAAACCAAACCAATCGTAACAAAAGGATTTCCTTCGGTAAGACTAACAGAAGAAGATGCCAATTTCCTTGTGCATAATTAGATCTGCGTCGCAAGTTCCAATTTACAAGGAGAGCGACAGGTGCCCAAAATTTTAGTTGGACTCGACAGATATCACGTTCTGGTAGACGAAGACGGAGTTCCACAGGGAACACACTTTAGGATTGCGAATCGCAAAAACCGTGTTCGGTCCAGCAATTTATGGCCGAGGCAGGCTAGACAACCCAGCAGAACATCAGTCAGTTTCCTTTGGGTTGATGGCCATTCACGAAGACTCAGAAGATCGAATACCAGAGGAATTTTTCAAACCAGAAGGGCTAGTAGTTTCTTCTGATGATTGCGCCACTGATAATAAAGTTCAGCAAAATTTCGAAAGTAACCAAAATTCATTATCGATCAACATAGGTTATGTCACAGCACCACTTCCATTGCAGTGCAATATCTCAAAACTTGAGGATGAGGCCGCGTTCACGCAGATTAGGCCCAAAGACGCACACAAAGAGCTATGCCGCCCACTGTGTGTAAAAGATACCACGAAGCTTATTATGAGGTCAAACATATTAGAGTACCGCTTTAATCGGTTACCATTCAGCATCATTGCGTCACCTGGTCTCCCAACTATTTTACGTCTAGCATTTTCATGCTCGGAAGGGACCGAATCATCAGCAGAAACAAGCAGAAACCTGTATATAGGCAGTACTTTACTTCAAGCACAAACTGACAGGAAGATTCTCCAAAAATACAGGGAATCGAAGAGTTTGTTCTCAAAAATCTGTACGAACCTTCGACATTATGTCTCCAACTCGAATATTGTTAAAATGGTAATACCAAAGAACAACCGGACTCCATTTGGTGAAATGAAACTTCTTGGCGCTCATTACGACAAGAAGGACGACCGCTTAACACTCAAGACAAAATTTAAAATGAAGATGACGCTGACGAAAAGAGATATAGTCAGCCAAACTGATTCTGTGTACGGCCCGCTCAGTGTTGTTAATTCATTATTAATTGGACTGGAATCATTGATCGGGGAGATCTTTATCACGCATTCAAGAGGCGATGACCGCGCTTCCATGGGACTCCACAAAAAATGGGGTACGTCATGTGTGACAAATAACGCTATGATAACAATCCACAAAGTTATTAGCGGAGAAAATGAGCTTTTGAAAGGTGTATGTCTCTGGTTCTTCTCGTCCCCAAGCAATGAAGCTCTAGCGGCATGTTCTTATACAGTATACCAAGACAAGACGACTTCCCTTCTTATTAGTGGAAAAACCGAGCTGTCACCAAAGAACGCGCCACAAACTAATTTCAAATTTGGGCTCCTAGAGTTACTTATTCTAGGTCTAGGAACTTCTATTTTATGGGTGAATCACTACCTCACAAAAAGTTAGCATTCGTGAGCGACAGGCATGCAGATGGCGTGGCTCGGCCTTTGTGGTCGTTGCCTCAAGTCAGCTCATGCCGAGGATGACGACTGCGGCGTACAGTGTGCGGCATGTGTGAGACCACACAACGTGCTACTGTGCGCCCATCGAGGAACACGACTTCAAAGGACTACGACGACTAAATGGGCAGCGCGCTGATACTTCAAAATTCTATTGCTTCATATGTGTGAATTTCAATTAATCGTGGCCGGCGGGAGTGTTCTGGCATAGGCCAGAACCCGCGGTCATCACCGCTTCTTCGGGGCGGGGCTTAAGTAGGAGATTCTCTACTCTGTCTTACTCGTAACAGGGGACTCCTGTCTTGTACACCACCCGCAACTAGGGTGTTTGCGTTCGTTACTAATAAATATAGATCACTGAACCACCGTATTTATTCGTTCGTTCGTTTATCAGAGGGACAACAATCTCTCTGACTACATAAAAGGCGCCACCCTTCCGCCTAGTCACCACCCAGACAGACAGAAGCGAATATTCTTTGCATTTATCAAATGATGATGATGACCATAAGTAAGTGAGTAATGATGATGTCCTCACAGATAGAACGATTCCGGAATGTTAAAAACGTCTTTGGGCTGAATAAGGAATTTTCAGTGTTAGCTCCGCCCACCTCGGTGCAGACCCCTCCACCGTAAGGTGAAGGCCGTCCTTACTTTAGGGAGCCTGGCCATTTTCTTCGTGCTCTTCTGAACATAGTTAAAATTTTCGTTCTTACTCCCCCTCCCTCCGTGAAAATTCCACCCACTTCAGAGGCCTAACCACATCCCCTCCACAACCTCCAACCGCTTTTCTCGCGCTTTAGAACGTTTTTGAAGAGTTAAAAATTTTTGGACCTAGTCCCGCCGACCTCAGTACAAGGCCCGCTCACTTCAAGGATCTGGCCACATTTCTCCGATAGCCTCTAACCACTTATCCACGTTATAGAACGTTTTTGAACAGAATTATGAATTTGTAGAAAAAGCACTTAACAGTTGCATGCCCCCCATTGTGGGCGGGGCTTTAACATGTTTGAGTACGCCCAGCACGTATAAGGCATTGCTCACATCTTCTATTTTTTTCTGGCCTACACGCTTCCGATGAAGCGAATTATGTCTTATATTTTAATGGCCCCCCACTGCGAGAACACTCCGCCCAGTGAGTCTCCTTCATTTCACTTGTAGACCCATCCATCACCTTCGCTCAATTTCTCCTGGCGGCTGGGCTGTTACGAAACCTAATTCTGAGATTTTGCTCAAAACAGCGCCCACTCCCGTTCATGCCCCGCTCCTGCAGGCGGAGCTGCGCTGAGCTCACATGTGTCTGTTGGTCTTGTCCCATGCCCAACCCATCTCAAACCTGACCTGACTTCTGCCACAGCAGACCACGACTTCTCTGATGTTTCCCTTTCAGAAATTGCTTCGTTCTTATCCCGTCACATGTACACTTCTTGTTTGACTATCTGTGGATGCTGGGACATCTCTCATGTTTATTCCCGTAAATAAGAGCAGAAAAGTGTTATACCATGCTTTTCGATACCATGAACCGTTTTCACCGAACGGTGCCTCGGCCAAAACAAGGTAAGTGTGGAACCGGAGAGGTTCGACACCCACAGAGGTGAAGATAAGAAATTCACAGAGGTTCAGCACCCTCCTAGGTGAAAAAGACCTGCCCGCAGTGGTAACACCCAAAAGGTTCGGCACTAGCAGTGGTGTACAATACACCTCAACAGAAGTACACCAAAGTACAGTCGAATGCAAAATGCAGTCAATCATGCCTGACGAGGTGCAGTGTGAGGAAACAATAGATGTGACAAAAGAAAGCATGTCACAGATCGACGTTGCAGAAGCAGGCTTGCAACCGCTAATCGAGCAAATTAAAGAATGCTAAGACAATACGAGAAGCAAGGAGGAGAAAGGATCTCTTCAAGAGAGACTCGTCTTAACGACGTGGCTAGAGTGGCGATCGATCTTCACTTCATGCTGGGAACACGCCTAACCGAGGCCAACAGCAACAGAAAAAGGCTTGGGCGCAATCTAGGCATCCACATATGTCGCGCGCGGACCACAAATGATATCCTCACAGGGCTTCAAAGTTCGAGTAGCACAAATGAAGTATCCAGACAGCCGCCTTCCACTACTCTCGATCGCACCTCTTACAGCAACTGAGAAGGAAGAGTAGTTCTCAGAATTCTGGGCCGTCTATGAACAAATCGTGCACAATAACCCGACGTTTAGCACAGCAGAAAAATGCTATTACTAAAAAAGGCTTTAAAGCAGATCCGACAACTCAATTTGAGGCATCTAGTTGATCCCGCATAATTACGAGTGGATGACCAGAACGCTACACAAAAAATATGGCAACAAGCCCGCCAAAGAGCCCGCATCGTCCAGCAACTCAAGGACTTGCCAAGAGCCACAGTACAGCGTAAAGCTCTGAAAAGGTGTTGGACGAAATATGCATGCTTTTGAATCAGATGTTCTCCACGAGACAAAACATCCGAACTTGCAAGGATGCTTCATGGATCGGGGCAATCCTAAACAGGTTCCCCAAAGACATCGAAGAGCCGGTACTTTTTGAAATGGTGAAGTACGATGACCTCGCAGTGAATTCTATTTCGGACTTCATCAGCGGTGAGGCATCCGCCCATCCAGGCTCCGACCCTATGATCATGCAAACAAAGATACTGCGAATCCCCTAAATAACACACCACAAATCTGCGCAATATGCAAAACTAGTGGTCATTTCACATGGTAGTCCAATCCTCGCTGCCCGTAAGCAAGAAGAGAGAAATCGTGGCTCAGAAGTGCTTCTGCTGGAAATGCTACTCGCCACGACACAAGTCGCGACTTTCGTGAAACCTTGACCCGCTGTGCACTGGAAAGAATCCGTGCTCCAATGTATGGCCGCCGTGCGCAACACTCGAATGGAGGAAGGTGCCAAAAGTGCGGCAAATATATCGAGCGAGTCGGCGCCCGTCAATCAATCAGTCTTGCGCCTGCCTCGTCAAGCTGTGTCGTCTCTCGTCAGAGCGCGCGTCGCCTGTCGCGTGGAAGTGTCGTCAGCCTTATCTGAGCAACATCTTCTTCAGTATGAACGCATTATTCTCAGCATGGTGGATCAGCTGCACTGAGTCGTATGTCACATTTTAGTCTTCAGTTTGCTGGCTATTTCTATGTCTATTTTCTTCTCTTATCTCCATCCTCATTATATACTCGTCTTACTCATTTATCGTATACAATGTTTATCATAATATAAACCTATAAAGATAGTCCATGTTATTACTCGAACGTGAAGTCGTCAGGGTGTTTGCATCATCAGTTCTTTAGCTTCTTTATCGCGCCTATATTGGCGGGAAGTAGGTTAGGAGACAAGGGCCCACCAACTTAGCCCGGGGCAGGAATCACCGCATTCTGGTGCGACACAGTCCCCTTCAGAGGGTGTGGGCCCTAACAGTACCCACGTTCTACCGTGGTCCCGAGGTTCTCCCCGCCGATGCGTATGTTCCTGGAACCCGGGTCGCGAGAACACATAGGTGAACAATGCTTCAGGAATAATTGCCGCTTATGTGCATCATATCAAGCTGTGTTTCACGACCGAAAGCGCAGGAGAGCGCGATGAATCAGAATAAAACATACTTTCGGTCAGCGAAGAGAAACAAAGAGTTTCCTCCACCGAGACAAACAAACGAATGAACGATACGCCTGGAAAGCTGCATTACAACACATGTCCACAACAGCGCAAAAAGCATAGTGCCATATACACAATGCGTGTGACCTAGAAACATATCCAGAAGATGCGTTAAGAGTGACCAACTCGAGTATTAGGAAGAAACAACTGAGCATCACACCAACATAGAATGCAAAGCTTCGACGCCGAAAGAGAGCAAATAGCTTCAATGACAGCCGAGGGATCCATCTGGAACCACGATTCTCAGAGGTTCGAGAAAGTCATGTTCTTCTTTGACACTGGCGCTCAGAATACGGTAGTCCAGGAAGATACCGCAATGCGATCAAAGCTACCAACACTGAAAACAGACACGCGCATCATGTCTGGTATAGGAAGAAAACTGATACTTTCCAAAGTTACATCGTGCATGTTAAGTCGGCACGGCCTACGGAGGAGATTTGGAAATACTAAAACCTGCCCATTGATCAGCAGTTCCTCAAAAAATGAAACCTTGTCTGAAATCCAAATATAGGAGCAGAGCACCATATACCTGACATTTTGATAGGTCTAGACCACTATTACAGTTGTGTACTCGACAGCGGCGAGCACCTCATGCTTCAGGGTTGCGAATACCTAGTACAATCTTCGGTCCTACACTGTATAGGCGCGGATTCACTGATATAGGGGGTGGCACGCCCACAACTCCTTCTTTCTCCTGCAACATGACGGCGATCGCAGAGACGAATAGAGTATTGTTGCGTACACTTTCCAAACACAAGGAAGAGAGAGAAATCCAAGATGCGACAAAATTTTTGAATAACGACAATGAGCGAAGCCGAACCCGAAGGCAGTGTTCGATAAAGAATGAGGAGCAAAACGGTGGGAAGGTGCGCTATAGAACTGCACAATACTATTAGGTGTTTCCGCCGCCGGATTCGAAGAGTCATTGCGCGAACCACGTTAGAGGTTTACCTGTGGAACTTGTCATATTCTGTAAAATAGTGTACTGGCTACCTATTTGAGGCAGACAGGTCAGTTTTCCCCAAAATCTCGTTGCTCTTAAATTCATGTTCATTCATTTCATTGTTTGATTGTTCATGGAACGTGATGAATCGTTTTTCCGGGAGGTCCTTCTCCTGCTGTTTGGTTTCAAGAAAACTGCCAGTGAAGCTCATCGGATGCTTTTCGATACTTATGGAGAACAAGGTCCATCTGAACGAACCTGCAGCTTTCACCCAAAAGCGGCCGTGAATCGCACGAAACATCATATAGGGCTGTTCCACCACGACAATTCCAGAGCAAAAAATGTTCTTAAAAAATTGCACATCTTGGATTGGACCAGCTTGTTCAGCATGCATACTCCCCGCATCTTGACCCATCTTATTACCACTAATTCCAGAATTCGTCGGCAGCCGTAGAATTGCGGAAATGGGTGGATGACTGGAGCCAGCAACAAGGAAATATCGTTAACTCTGCCTTTAACATTAGACTTTAGC